ATTATACAGTCCGTAAATAGTTGTGCATTATGAAAAGGTAGTTTTTTTTCTTTTTTTTTTCTTTCAATAAGTGAAGAAACAGGTAGATTTATACAAGCCAGTTAAACAGCCTTTTCGTGCTAATGCCCCCTTTTTCTTTCCTATTAGAAAATTAAAAGTCTTACTGTACCTCTCCTGGCAATCTGGCCTCTGTGACTATCATTGTACAATCATAATCAGAATTTGCCAAGGGAAAAAAAATGAGGCCTGGACCCAGACGCATTGCATGGCAGGGCTTGAGGGGAGGATTTCTTGATTTTGTTTGTTTGCTTTGTTTTTAACTTTTTCTTTTTTTTTTTCTTTTACTTTATGCATTTTCAATTTAACTCGTGTGGTTCCATCATTCATCCTTCGCTCGATCTTTGTTGATTTTCTTCATTTTCATCCTCCTGTTCTGAAACCAGATTTTCACTTGTCTCTCAGTTAAATTGAGGAGTCTGGCCACCTCGTATCTACGGTCCCTAGTGAGATACATATTGAACAGAAACTCCTTCTCCAGTTCCAGTGTCTGATGCTTGGTGTAAGGGCATCGCTTTTTCCTGGTGGACCTTGCGTGGAGCCAGTTTGCAGCTGGATTATCTACAACGAAAACAAGAGAAGTTCAGGCTGAGGGGGAGAGTGGGGGGGTGGTGAGGGAGGGGGCTGGGAAGGCGATCCACGTAGAAACAGCCGATTAGGTGTCCCGGTGTTCGTGTTTAGGACATGGCTCTCCTTTCCCGAGGCACATAGGATTGTGAGGCACAAAGGACTCCAAAATACAGACACATGGAGAGGTCACACGAAACCACATGCGGCAAAGCCCCGTTGCCCCCGCCTTCCCTTGTCTTTTTTATTGTTTCTGGAATACAATTTTAAAATACTTTTTTCTTCTCCTCTCTCTCTCTCTCTCCCTCTCTCTCTCTTTTCCTCTCCCTTTCTCTCCCTCTCTCTCTCTTCCTCTCCCTTTCTCTCCCTCTCCCTCTCTCTTTCTCTCTCTCTCCCCCTCTTTGCTAGCTCCCTCCCTCCTTCCTGGCCTCCCCACACACACACCCTTTAAACTGCCAGCGTAGGGAGTGTCCAACCAGACCAACATGTCATCGAAATTGTTTCACTTTTTTATTTCTACCTTCTCCTGTGTCACCCCTGGCAAGACCCCGGAAGCTGGAGAGTCAGTCTACAACTGGCATAATTAAACCCTCGCCCTCTTAAGACCCTTATTCGCACGGCGTTAATAGCGATAGTAATCCCGAGGCGCTCTGCCACCAGTTTCGCGGCCCTGGGAGTATCCAGCCCGGGGTTTTCCCCAGAGGAGTCGAAGGGGGGAGGGGGAAAATCAAGTCAGCGGCGGGGGGGTTCTGCTCTCACACCGTCAATAGCCGCCCCGGCCTGAGAGCCGTCTCAAAAAAAGATCAGATTCACATTCAATGCTTTCTAGGCACCCTCTCGCCGGCGTCTGCCCACGCCTGGGAGCGCAGCGAGGCAGGGTGATGTGAGCACGTCCTGCGGAGTTTGCTGGGGTGGCTGGAGCAGGGGTGGGCGGCTATTACGTTTCTCTCTCTTTTTTTTTTTTTTTTTTTTTTTTTTTTTTTTAATGTCTGTTCAAGTTGCAGTTGTAGGGTGGGTTTTTGTTTTCCTTTCAGCCTGGAATGCCAGAGCCGTCCTAGATCCCGTTTGAGCCTCAGAAAGGCAGCGCTGGCTTTTGCAGATGGCAGACCCGGGCGAGCTGGCGCAGCGGCGGCGGCAGCGGCCGGTGCTCGGCCACGTAATTAGCCCCAGCGCCTCGATACCTCCCCGCGGCCAGCGCAGCGCCCTGAAGTCCATTACCCTCGCAGTCCCACTTACTTGGATCGATCTGCGGTTTCTCTCCGTTTGCCTCACTTTCTCCATTGCTTTCAGAGAATGCGACTTCGTGGCTTTGCTTATCCCTATCAACTGGAGGAGAACCACAAGCATAATCAGAGAGAGACAAAGTGTGAGTGTCAAACGTGGTACAGTCAGCCCTCCTGGCCGCCAGCGGTTCAGGTTTAATGCCGTAATGCCTGCTGGTAGGTAACCCGGGGAAAGACAAGGAGCCCGGCACAGGCTCAAGCCACGAACGCATGTACCTGCCGTCGGGCGGTGCCACGGGCGCCTGGTGATGCGCGTAGGGGTGGTAGACGGCGGGGGCGCCGGCGGGGTGCGCGGGGCTCCAGGGGGGGCCGAAGACGGGCGCCTTGGGCTGGAAGCTGCAGGGGGCCAGCTCAGGGTGCTCGGCCAGCGCCGCCGGCCGCGGCGGCGGCCCCAGCGGGGCGGGGGCGTAGCGGGGCGCCGCCAGCTCGTCCCCCTCCGGCACCAGGAAGGAGTCCACGTAGTAATTGCTGAGGGTCCCGGGAGCCGACATGGCGGGCGGGCGGGCGCGGCGGACCCGCCGCGGTTCGGGGCTGCGGGTTTCACGTAACAACTTGGTGCTGGCGGGGAAGTAGAGTCAGTAATAAGTTGGGGGCAGCGCGGGCGCCCATTGGCTGCGCCGGTCACGTGGCGGGGGACCAGAACAATAAAGTATAAATCAGTCCGCGGGCTATTAATGGGTCAGTGTTTTCCAGCCATAATTTTTATAGCGAGGCCATATGTTTTTATGCAAAGGGATATTTGAGTTATACGGCGGGGTTTGTTTTAATTGCGGCCAACTGAGATTAAAAGATCAGATTCCGTATTACAGCCCCCTTCTTCCTTTCTCTCTCTCTCCCCCCTCTCTCTCTTTATTTTTTCGTTTAAACGGACTATTTTATATCATAATTAATCATCCCATCAGTGGGTCGTGTTCCCTGTGAAAAAAAAAAAAAAAATCCCACCACCCTTGTGATCGGAGATCTTCACATAAAATGATACAATAACTGAAGCAATAAAAAAAGCAAAATAACAGTTGCGGTATACTGTATTTAAATATACATTTATTATATTTCATAAGGAGTTATTGTTTCGGGAGCCACGGGGTTGTTATTAAGTCAGTAACTATGAGCGCGCTCATTTGCATCCCTGTGTTTCTCAGCAGTAAAAATTTACGAGTGCTTGGAAAGGTTAAATTATACTATTGTGTTTAGTTTGGGAACCCACTGTAAATAATACCGTTCCGTTCGGCTCAAAGCTGGCAGCGGAAAGTCAAATTCAACGTATCCCCTTTCGAAACCGCGGCGCAGAGCCGGCCCTCCCCGCCTGGTCGGAGGAGGACAGGAGCAGGCGCTGGCTCGTTATTTAGGCTGGCCCGCACCAAACTGCACTTCACCACCCCACCCCGCAGGGCATGGCTCGGCAGTGACCGAAACACCTTACTCGTCCTCCCCGCCGCGCCTGCCCGCCCCTGCCCTTGGACCGGGGACCCCTCACCAGGCCGGGGAAAGGAGCTGGGGCTGGGCGGCGCGGCGGCGGCCGGAGCCAAGCCGCTGTCGGGACCGGGAGGGAAGGAGCACGGGCAGAGCCGAGCGGCGATATTTATCACGACGATTAATTCTTCAACTATGCAGGGAAGCAGCGGGGGGAAAGGGGAGAAAAAGCCCTGTCTCCCCGCTGCCGAAAGGCACCCTGCTTCTCCGGGCAGCTATCAAAGGGGCGTTCGCAGTCGGCCGTCCCGCATTCTGGTGAATCAAATTTATGTGCAAATATAGTTATTTATTTGCTGGCACCTCCTATGACTGCAAGACACACGCTAGCAGCATCGGAAGCCACGCGGAGGGTTACAATCCTCCGCAGAAGGAGGGGAGGGTTCGCAGGGGGAAAGTAAGAGGCGGCCAGATCCAAGTCCAGTGTTAGAAATTAAAGTCGTGGCTGAGCGCTTGGCAAACATGCCTGCGACTCCTTGGTTTCTTTCTGACGGACAATCGCGCTGTTTATTCCCGTGACTGGTGAAGGAGTGCGGTTACTAGGATGCAGGGGGCACAAAAAATATCCGCGAGAGGCTCAATTTGCTCAAAATATCTTTTTTTGAAAATAGAGCCCAGCAAATGGTAGGGACGACTGAGTAATAATTAAATCGCGTGTAAATACTGTGCATACGAAAGTGTGGTTCTAATTAGGTTCACATCGCTATGTGGGCTGTCTCTCTCCCTCTCTCTCTCTCTCCTCTCTTCTCTTTCTTTTTCTTTTTATGTCTTCTCAACAGTTTAGTCCGAAATCTTATGGAGGTCCTATTTTAACAGTGCTCTCTTCCCTATTCAGAATTACAAAGGTCCATAATGAAACTATTATGCCCCATTAGAGTTCAAAAATTACGGAGCAGTTGCAGGATCTCAATAAACAAGGGGCCCGTTATTTCCTAACAATTTTAAAAATGCAAATAAAGCTCTCTCTGCTTTTTTTTCTTTCTTTCTTTCTTTTCTTTTTTTTTTTTATTTTTCCGCTATTGTATAGGCACTCCGTAACAGAAAAAAAAAAAAATTGTATTTCTTTCCTGGAAAGACGGAACTCCACGTCATTTGTATTTATTATTAAGAGTCAGCTGTGGTGAAATGTGATTGTAGAACTTCCTTTTTCCATTCAGAAAAAATAATCTTAGCTGCAGGAGTCCTGGATGTTTATACTCGAATTTGGGTTCTCAGCTTCAGCAGCGGGTTTCATTTTTTTGGTTCCTCACCAAAACTAATAGCAAATGAATAACAATAACAGTAGAGTTTAAAAGAACGTGTCTGCATTTTTATTTCCCTGTAAAATTCTGCATTTGTTCACTGCCAGCATCCAAGAGGCAGGACAGGGTGTACAGAAAGAAAGAGGCAAAATAGAGCAAATAATTAGACATTTTTCACGCGGCCACGTTGCTGATAATAACACTGGGATATTCTCCTCTTTTTTTTTTTTTTTTTTTTTTTTTTTTTTTTTTTTTTTTTTTTTTTTTTTTTTTTTTTTTTTTTTTTTTTTTTTTTTTTTTTTTTTTTTTTTTTTTTTTTTTTTTTTTTTTTTTTTGGTGCAGTTTTAGATTCATTTTCAACATAAGTACAGTTTTCACACGAGTTGCAAAGGCAAGTGGGCTTCGTACAATTTGTGTTGCAAATGCCTTAAGATTTTGGTGACTTACACCTTCGGAGGCAAAAGACCCCAAGCAAGGCAGAAACAGACGTTCACATAAAATTGCTATATGAAACTGCAATTCCCAGGAACGAAGCACTGCTGGAGCCATCGTGTCTGAATAAAAATACTCCTTGCCCTCCGTCCCGATACAACCGAATTAGCAGAGCTCCCATTCCTCTAGCTCTGACCCCTGGCTGCAACAGGAAGGATCCCATCGGTTTTCAAGCAAGAGACATCTGCAAACTCTGCTTCATTAGACACGCACCACAGAGGCGCGGAGCATACTCGGGCGCGGGGAAGGAATCCGCGGGCGCTGGCGACCTCTCCTGAACGGGAAGTTCAGGATCGCCTTTCCCCAGGCTTTCCTGCCGCTGCAGAGCTCTCTGAACCAGTGGTGCTATGAATGCACGGAGGGGGTTTGGCATAGGGAAAAGAAAAAATTATTCAGAATTTAGGGGAAGCAGTCCAAAATCAGGATGAGGCGATTCAACTGGGAATCAAAAGGGCAGAGGCAACAAACGCCATATAGGCACGCACAGTCACAGGCACTGTAAATACACTCCCCGAATGTACACAGCCCCAGCAGATAGTCCGTCAGACTCACAGTGTATGCAGAGACAGACATAAGCACTTAAATTTGGCTGCAATGCAGAGCTCTGCTCCTGTCCCGACCGGGAACATCTGCTTCTCTAGGGATCCATCTAGCTAAAATCCGCTATCCAAACTCTTTCGAGCTTCCGCAGCCCAGCTTGGACTTTTTGGAAAGTTTATAGGTTTCACTACTGTTATTTTTTTAAGGCAAACGTAATCACGACCCCTAAAAAATCAAATAGAAATAAATGCCCAAGGAGTGAATTTTCGGTGCTCTCCCGCACCCTCCTTTCCGCCACGGAGGGTGCCCCACTCCATGGGCGCATCGGCACTGGCTGCCGGCGGAGGGCCAGGCGGGAGCCCGCCCATGGCCCGCGGTCGCGCTGCGGACACAAAAGGCGGCGGTGGTGGCGGCGGCAGCGGGCCCGGAGAGGTCGCTGTTGCCCGTTCCGCCGCCGCGGAAAGACCGCATCGCAATCGTGATCGTAACCGAGGCCTTGCGGGCCCCGGAGCAGCCGGCGCCTCCAGGCAGCCCCGGCGGAGCGGGCCCGACGGGCGACGGCACAGAGCGGGCGGAGCCCTGCCACAGGCCCCGGCAGGCACCAGCCACCCCACCGCGGGGGACGAGAGCCGCCGGCGGGGCAGGGCACCCCCACCACCAGTGGGTCGACCCGACCGCCGGCACTGTGCTCCGGGTCCTTGTTTCTGATGACGAGTGGAGCATGGCCGGCAGATTTGATCTCTCCCCACCCCCTCCCCCAGGCACGCTTTCGAGTCTCTTGTTTTTTAATAAATCCAGGCTGAAAAATAAAAAAAACGGCCCCCCACCTCCCCCGACCCCCCGAGCTCGACCCACGCCGAGCGGAATGCAAAACGCACCTGACCTTGAATGCAGCCAACGAGATATATTAAAAACCCGCAAGCAGGCAGGGACTCGCTTAGGAGCTAGCTAACCTTGAAGAACTTGTCAAGCTTCCCCCCTCAGCTGCCGTGTTTATCTGAGGAATCAAAGGAGGCTCCGCTGCAGATGGGAAACAATGGCATTGGGACTTGACGCCTACAGTTAGTTCACTTCAGCGCTAAGATTTCTTCGGGCAGAAAGGACCCTCGCACCAAGCATACCTGGTGATGATATCAACTGAAGTAATTAAGGCAGTTTCGTGCTGTAGAGAGAAAGGTGGAGCCCCAACAACATGAAACTACCTAAACCACAGAGCAGTTCTCAGGCGCTAATTATTACTTTCCCCATTGCCGTGGTCCTTAACGCAAGGATCCCGCTACGAAAATAAAACCAGAAACGTGACTAAAACATCCCTCTCTCCCTCCCGCCCACCCCGCCGGCGCCCCTCCGCGCCCCCCGGCCAGCCTCGGGTGGGTTAATGAAAACAAGAATAAAATATAATAACAACCACCCACACACGCGCGCGAGGGCAGCTTTCGCCTTTCCATGCAGATGCAATCGGGGAAAAAAAAAAAAAGGCCGTGCGCGACAATGTTACATCATGAAAAGCTAACGGCTCCCAAGAAGCCTGGGTTCAAAGACTGTTCCCCCCCTCCTCCCGGCATACATATACCCTTGCAAGGAAGCATTAGCTGTAGCTTTTCTTCCAACCTTCTTTTTACCTTCCCATTGTGCAAGACTTTGTGCAAGCTAAACATGCAGCAAGGAAGCGAGGATTTAAAAAAAAAAAAAAAAAAAAAAAAAAAAAAAAAAAAAAAAAAAAAAAAAAAAAAAAAAAAAAAAAAAAAAAAAAAAAAAAAAAAAAAAAAAAAAAAAAAAAAAAAAAAAAAAAAAAGCAGCTGGGTGAAATAAGCTCTTCCACATGCAGCCAGGTAGGGAATAGCCTTGTTTGGAGGGGCCCACTGGCAGGGAGACGAGACCTGGGTCCCCCCCTCCACATGAGCTCACCTTTACGATTTCTTCTCAGCCCTGAGATAAAGCTAGAATTTTGTCAGCCTCTTCTGGAGTTAAAGATCTCTGCATACTCGTAGGTGTTCGATTAAAAAAAAAAAATCGTTTCCCTTCCCTCAAGAAATAGTAATTTGCTTCCTCAGTCTATGCAGCTCCTCAGTCAACTGAAACCACTCGTTCAAGACAGCAACAATCCAGATATACTAGCAAGTCATAAAACTGAACAAAAGCCGACAAACCTTAGAGCACCATCGCTATATGGCCCAGACAAATTACGACCGTCTAGGTAATATTTAAATAGATTCCTAAAGTAATTGCAGGGGGTTTAGGCAACTATTCCTGTTGTAAAAGTTCTCGAAGACATAAAGTAGAACCTGAGGATAAACAGTCACAAAAAGAGGTAAAATGAAAAGGATTAATTCCACGGTTTTTTATTCTTCTATGAGAACATAAACATCGTCTTTTTCACGCACAGCAGCATTACAATATTAATTTATTCCGATTTAAGGTAAGAACTAGATATAGCTAGAACTAACATTTATAATAATGATAGAATGCATTTGCTTAAAACAGTATCGGCATTTTAATAATAATAGACATTTATCCATATCTGTATTTATAGCTTTTCCCCTTCTTTCTTTTTTTTCTCTTTTAAAATTTTTTTTACCTCTATGCTTCACCCTTTAATGTATGTAACTTCACAGTATAAAGGAAGACACGTTCTCCCTCGCAATCTCAGACTCTGGCTCAAAAAGTCCATCTCATATTCAGGATATGTACTTTTCAGTAAAATTAGTGAGAAAAAAGGAACTATTTCTTTCTCAAGGGGGAATTTCTGTGTGCTTGTCATGCGTTACCAACGGTAACATTATATAGAGACACAAAAAAGAATCACTAATTCCACATACTTAAGCAAAACTACATTAAGTAAATATCTACAACCAGCAAGAGAAATTCAGAGGTAAGTGTAATAATTTAGTCCATGAGCAAAACGAACTCTTTTATACCTTTAAAGAGAATAGATTTCATTTTCCTGGCCAATTTTAAAGCTGTAATAATGACTTTTAAGGTAAAGCAAAAAAAAAAAAAATCTCTCTTAACACCCGTTCCCATGAAACCCTTTAAAGCATGCCTGCATTTCATTATTGTAAGTCCTGCTTTTCGAAGAAAAAAGGGGGAGGGGGAGAAAAGGAAAACAGAAGAGGGAAAGCTCCCAATATATAGAAATATGGCAAGCCTTAAATTCTTCACTGTGCAGCTACATACACTCCAAGTTACAGCGCTTATATTTTAAAAGAATGTACCTTTAACCAAGATTGTTTACTTTTCAGACAGAGATATAGACGAAAACCTATTTACTGCTTCTGAAATCGTATTTCTATGTTTCAAAGCTTAGAGGAACAAATCGGCCCGGAAGAAGGCTGAAGGAAGAGGGGAGGTTCACGCACGGCATTTTGTGCTTTAGCGTGGCTTTAGTCTGCCCACCCCCCCAGCCCCCCAAAGTAGCTCTTAAGAGGTTAAGGACATATTGAGAGTGTCTAAAATCGTTAATCCATACAGGTGCAGATGACTATAGCCTAGGAAAATGATACTGACTCTTTAAACCATAAAAACGTGTTTATAGGTTCATCAAGAGAAATTAAAGTTGGCTGTGAGCTCCCGAATCCTATTCTCTCTGTTCATTTTCTTCAGTTTCATTCTGCGGTTCTGAAACCAGATTTTAACTTGTCTGTCTGTGAGGTGGACTGTGCGGCTGATCTCTAGGCGACGCTCACGAGTCAGGTACATATTGAATAGAAACTCCTTTTCCAGCTCGAGAGTTTGATGCTTGGTATAGGGGCATCGTTTCTTTCTGCCACTTTTTGCCGTGAGCCAGTTTGCTGCATTTTCTCCTTTTGAATTGCCTAGTTTTGAGAAAGTAAAAAATGGACGTTACCATCGAGTCAGAGGCAAGGAGCTGTGGGGGAGAGGGTGGAAGGAGCATCCGTGTGGGCTCGCTCCGCCAGCTGCAAAGAGTTGGAATGTGGGGTATCCTTGTGGGAACAGAGAGCTTCAAAGTGTTTTCCCAAAGGCGCTGGATCTACCTTGGTAAACATTGACACTGTTCAAAAACTTCCCTGCCCTGCCGTGTAGTTCCACTCCGACACCCCAAAACAGGCTTCTATTCTCTCCCTGCTGGCTGCTCCGAGCCCACTGTTAGCGGGGGCAGCTTGGTGAACGACCTGTAGACTGATTTCCAACCCCACCCTCTCCACCTGCTTCCAAAAAAACAAAGCCTGCGGATCCGAACTTTTTAAGTGTGCTATGGAGGTGGAAAACAAGGTGAGCTGGGGAGCCGGAGCCTCCCTGCCTTTTGCCCCTGCCTTTCCAGAATGCTTCTGCGCGACCCTCTCTTTTACTTAGCATTTCAGGGAAGAAAAAGATACAATAATAACAATAAAAACGTTTCAAAGGTGTTCCCCACTGGCTGGGAAAAAGGTAACACCAATCTCTCGATGGCTCAGAGTGGTTGGTGGTTTGGGGTTGGCTCTCCAGTAGCTTTTCGCTTTCTTTCAAAATTTTTTTTTTTTACTATTATTTTCCAAGAGTGCGTTTGAAAGGAATAACAGGGCATCTGAAATGCGAATGGAGAGAAGCTCCTGAAAGTCTACCGCCCGGGGAAGGGGAGTTATTTTTTGCCATGGGGACCCGAAAGGTAAATAAATAAGGAAATGTATAAATAACAGCTCTGTTATCTAGTGTAGACGCTGAAGGATATTCGCGGTTGCATTCATCAGTCTAATTTGATAGCAGCTCATAGATGGCACATTTCAGCGCGGCTGTTATTTCGAAAAGCATTCTGGATCGTAAAATATAACTTACCGTGTTAATAGGTTTATTTATTGGCACTGCCTATTGCTTATTTTGGATGCTTCACAAACATCTCTGTTATCTGGTAGGCACCTTCACAACACAGGGGAAAAAGTGATCTCGTTATTCTATATGTTTAAGCATCATGCAGGCTAAAGTTGCCCATAGAGGAGGCTCTAAGGATTTTAAACTATAGGATGGACATTAATTTTTACGGCAACCCCATGCCCGAATATTACAAAGTTCAGAAGGTCAGTCTGAGCAGCGCTTCTTGGCAGCCCCGCGGGGCAGCTGGGATCCTCCTTTCGCATCGCGATGCCACTATGATCCTTAACGGGTTTTTTTCTTTCTTTCTTTTTTCTTTCTTTTTAATCATCACTACCACTATTACCATCACCATTCGCTTACCTACGGGCTCTTTTTCGGGAGAAGCTTTGCTGCTCTCTGACGGAGCTGGAGAGAGCTCCTCTGCGGTGGAAGATGAAGCCTGAGTCTCGTCCTCCCTCTGGGAGACGCACGCCAAGGGGCTGGGGGAGCGTTCCTCGTCCTCTTTCCTCCCCGAGTCCGAGACGGGAGGCAAAGATGGAGGCGTCTGGAAGCGGCCAGGGGGCTGCGGAGGGAAGGGGGCAGCCCCGGCCGGCCCGGCGCCGTAGTTCTTGGAAGTGCCATAAGCCTGGGAGAGGCGGAAGTAGCCCGGGACGGGGACCCCGCCGCCGCTGCTGGCCGGGCTGACCTCGGCACTCAGCCGGGGGAAGGGAGCGAGGTCTGCGGCGGCCGAGCCCTTGGGGCATTTCTCTGAGTCATAGAGGCAGTAGGAGCTCTCCTCCTTAATGCTTGGAGCGAAGGAGCACGAGGTGGCCTGCTGGCTCTCCGGCTCTTCCATGCGACAGGACCGGGGGGGGTCTAGCCACACTTCCATGCCTGACACGTAGGAATGCGAGCTGGGGACCATGCTTTGAGAAGTACCTTCATTGCGTTTGCTCAGAACGGGGAAAAGTCCGCAGCTTTGCAGCCCGTAGGACAGATCGGACGCCTGTGGCAGGTAGATACCACTGTTGGGATAGTAGCCGCCTCCGCCTCCGCCTCCGCCTCCTGCTCCCGCCGCTTCCCCTCTGCCCGAGCTGATCAGGGAGTCTACCAAAAAAGAGTTTGCAGCCGGGCTCTCGGAGCATGACATTGTTGTGGAATAATTTGGCGAAGGGAGTAGATAGCCCTTTCTGGCTGACATTTCTTGTGCAAAACATGCTGAATATGATGAGAGATACCCCCGCGCCACGGCAGGCTGCTGCAGCCAATGGAAGCCCGGGCCTCCCCAGCAACCCCTCCCCGTCTGGTTTCGTATGCACAGAGCTGCTCTCAGGTCGACCTCTGAATTTGGAAGATAGATGTATATTAATGTGTAATATGGATTTCCATACACACAGGCGTGCGCGCTTCGACCACATGGACGAGCGCCTGCGCCCAGGCGGGATCTGCGCTCCCGGGAAGGGGAAGGAGCGGGCTGTGCTGGTACTGACTCCAAGTTTGGCTCCTCTCTTATCACACTCACCGCTATAAAATAGCCCGGCGGTCCTGATGTTTATTATACCTAGGCTGAAGCGGTGTCCAGATGAAGCTTTTACTATCGCTCCTCTCTCCCCGCGGTCGGGCTTTCCTGCAACAATGCCTGCTCACCTCCCTGCACAGCCTATGTGTCTCACGAAATTAATAAAACCGCGGCTCACCCGGTGTTTTATGCCCAGGCTCTGCTCATTTTATTTGATTGTCTCGGTTTTTTACGAAATAAAAGACTTGTTATTGTTTATCACGGATCATTGGAAACTGTAAAGGGGCCTGGTGCCTCCCGCGTTAAACTCCCGAGGAAGAGGGCTGCTTCCAGCCTAAAATCACCACCACGACGCCAGGCTGGGCTTAATTTTCCTGGAGATAAAATGCTCGCTGCTGCGCAGAGGAATCTCTTAGGGAGCAATGCCACTCTGGGAGGATTGATTGTGCGGCTGCAGCTCCTAATGCTTTAGTTAACGCTGGATTCTTCCCGAGGTCTGATTACCATTTAAAATATAAAGCCAGACATATGTCACAGAAAGAATCCAGACGCGAGCAGTTCAAATGGATCTTCGCAGGATGCTGCGCACCGTGTTTATTGATGTGTTTATATTTGGGCGATCATTTTTATATCTCCCCTCCCTCCCCCTGCATTTGGGTCTTTTCACTTTTCGCCTCTTCAAAAGCACCGTCTCCTTCAAGCAATGTACTAAATAATAGAAATAAGAGTAACTAGATAAATTCCGAGATACTAGAC